GACCAGAAGCTAGAAGAGGGGCATGGGATCGATTTCCCTTCATAACGCAGGGACCACCACAGCTAACACGTTGATTTGGGACTGTTTGTTCTGGACTCCAGAACTGTGAGACTGTTAGCCAGTTTGTGGTACTTTATTGCGGCAGCCCCAGGAAGCCAATACAATAATTTATTAGTGGCTTTAGAGCAAAGAGTTAAGAAGCTTGTGCAAAGAAAACAGACAGGAGTTAATGAGCGAAGCCACACATTTTACCTAGAGATCTAAACTCTAAGAAGGTTTCTGTGAAGTCTACTCCAGAAGAGAAATTTATATACTATTTAAATGTATACATCTATTACTATTTCTTAATTCGCCACATTCAAATATAATAGGCCACTTTCTCCTTCAATATAAACGCTGTGGATTTAACATTCAGCCATAGGAATTTCTTTCGTATATCTGCCTGAATCAAAGCTGCTACATAGGCAGCAAGTTTGTAGAGGGCAGAGACTGTATATATTATTTCTACAGAACCATCTACAGTCTACAGGCAAATAAGTAGTTAATAGAGAACTTAAAAACAATTTTTTTTAATGTTTATTTATTTTTGAGAGAGGGAGAGACAGAGTGTGAGCAGAGGAGGGGTAGAAAGAGAGGGAAACACAGAATCTGAAGCAGGCTCCAGGCTCCCAGCTGTCAGCACAGAGCCCACTGCGGGGCTTGAACTCACAGACTGCAGGATCATGACCTGAGCTGAAGTTGGATGCTTAACTGACTGAGCCACCCAGGTGTCCTAAAAACTTTTTTTTTTTTTTTAAGTGAGCTCTACGCCCAACTTGGGGCTTGAACTCATGACCCTGAGATCAAGAGCGACACACTCTATTGACTGAGCCAGCCAGGTGCCCCTAATAGAGAACTTTTGATGAAGATAAGATGATTGAAGAGTGACTCAAAATTCTTGGGCTAAACCCAGAATGACCATTTAAAAGCAGTATTTTCACCCTCTTCTGCATCCGACTCTACTACTTGCCAACTGATTAAAAAAATCCACTGAAAGTTCAGTGGAATCTTGTCTAAGGATGCAAAGTTTAAGAATACCATCTATGTCTAAGCTGGCCAACATTAAAAAAAATTTTTTTTTTTTAATTTGAGAGAGAGAGAGAGGAGGAGCACAAGCACAGGAGAGGAGAGGGGGTGGGGGGTTAAGAGAGAGAGAGAAGGTGGGGAGGGAGGGAGAGAGAGAGAGAGAGAATATCTCAAGCAGGCTCCACACGCAGTGCAGAGCCCAATGCAGGGCTTGATCCCATGACTGCGGGATCATGATATGAGCCGAAATGAAGAGTTGGACACTCAACTGACTGGGCCACCCAAGCACCCCTAAGCTGGCCAACATTTTTTTTTTTTAATTTTAATTGGCCAATATTTTTAAAGGTAGAAACTTTTGAGTAATATGTCAAGAACAGTCTTTCTAGGATCGATTGCATCCTAAGATCCCTTCTCTGAAATAGGACCTCAAACTACTAGGTGCAGTGACTTGGCACTGCAGAATTTAACTAAGTCAAAATTAAGACAGTCTGAAAGACGTGAAAGAAACTTAAATGCACATTACTAAGTGAAAGAAGCCAATCTGAAAAGGCTACATACTACATGACACTTAACTACATGGCATTCTGGAAAAGGCAAAACTATGGAGAAAATAAAAAGGCTAGTGGTTGCCAGCAGTTAGGTAAGGAAACAGAGGAATAAATAAATAAGTGGAGTACAGAAAATATTAGGATAAATAAAGCGACACTACATGATCCTATAATGGTGGATCCATGTCACTCTACATTTGTTTAAACCCATAATATGTACAAAACCAAGAGTGAACCTAAACTATGGACTTAGGGTAATGATCTGTCAATGTAGGTTCATCAACTATAAGAAATGTACCACTATGTTAGGGGATGCTGATAATGGGGGAGGCTGTGCATATGTGGGGGTGGAGAGTATATGGGAAATCTTGTATTGCGTGCTCAATATTGCCATGAACCTAAAACTGCTATAAAAAATAAAGTCTATTTTTAAAAAATTAAGACAATCTACCCTGCTGTGGTCTTCTTGCTAAGACAGACTTTCCATTCTTCTGCAACCCTTAAAATGTCTCTGACTCCTGTTCAGTGTTGCTTCTGAAGGAACAATAATGATCTATCATCTAGTCTCATCCTGGATCAATGCTAGTAACAGTGGTGTTCAAACCTACTGTTTGAACTCTAAGTACACAGAGGATCACTCCTTAATATGAAAATGTAGCCTGTTTATTGCCATTAATTAGGATGCTTCACAGTTGGTAAACAAAAAGTAATTTTGGGGGAAAAAAAACTCACCCAGATTTAAAAGCAAGTCAATAAACTGCTAATTTCTGTATAATTAGAACACACTGCTTCTCAATAAAGAAGTATTTTATTTTTTAACTAATGTTTTTATATATATTTCACACTGCCATATTTTAAAATTCTAACATCATGGGCTGAATCATCAGAAGTGTTACAGTAATATTTATAATAAAATCTACCCCTCCTAACAGATAATAAGTTTGATTTCAAAAGCTACATGGCTTACATTAGTCCTACTTAGGACCAGTAAAAATATTTAGATTTTGTTCATTCTCTTATGACTAGCCCTTTATCAACATTTGACACTGCAGCAAAAATAGTGACTACATGAGGCTTGGACACGTTTGATACTTTTTAGCCTTGACTTGAGAGTTTTGCTGGCCCCACTACTGACTAACAAAAGGCCACTGCAAACAGCTGAGTCTCTGGTCTCCACCTCAACCACCCATCATTTGAGCAGCCAAAGCCATGAAGCTGCTGGTGTTGTCAGGCAGCTGCTCGCTTTAACAGCTGGACATTCTCACATGCCTCATCTGGCAAACCAGTCAAATGCTTCCATCTCTCTGCTCAGTTCTCCAACATTTCATCCTATAAAGGGTTTATTTCTTCGTAGGAATTTATTTTTTCTAAGTAGAGTAAGCTACCTTGGTTATGGTTTTATGGTCCGAACAGCTAAATTTTCTAGGAACACAGGTAAATGTTAGAGATCGTTTCAGGGCATATATGCATTTTTACTTTTTATTATTTTTATTTTAATTAAAAAAAATTTTTTTTTTTACATTTATTCATTTTTGAGAGACAGACAGAGCACAAGCGGGGGAAGGGCATAGAGAGAGGGAGACAGAATTCGAAGCAGGCTGCAGGCTCCGAGCTGTTAGCACAGAGCCCGATGCGGGGCTCAAACTCGCAAACTACAAGATCGTGACCTGAGCTGAAGTCGGACTCTTAACTCACTGAGCCACCCAGGTGCTCCCTTTTTATTTTTTTTAGTATTTATTTTTGAGAGACAGAGACAGAGTATGAGAGGGGGAGGGGCAGAGAGAGAGGGAGACACAGAATCAGAAGCAGGCCCCAGGCTCTGAGCTGTCAGCACGGTGCCCAACACAGGGCTTGAACCCACTAACTGTGAGATCGTGACCAGAGCTGAAGTTGGACGCTCAACTGACTTAAGCCACCCAACCGCCCTGCATTTTTACTTTTTCAAGAGAGAAAAGGGCAAAGGAGATGGACACTAGAGAACGCTTTTAAACTTGATCTCAATTTTTACAAATACAGTTACATCTTGGGACATCAGAACCTTGGCATTCTATTTAGTGGAGCTCCAGGATAACATATAGTATCAATTCATATTCCTAGCTGTCTGATTAAACACATTTAAAAACTAGGTTTCTGGGGTGCCTGGGTGGCTCAGTCAGTTAAGCATCCAACTTCGGCTCAGATCATGGTCTCATGGTTAATGAGTTCGAGCCCCACACTGGGCTCTGTGCTGACAGCTCAAAGTCTGGTACCTGCTTTGGGTTCTGTGTCTCCCTCTCTCTCTGTCCTTCCCCCGTTGTGCGTGTACGCACGTGCTCTCTTTCCCTCTCTCTCCCAAAAATAAATAACATTAAAAAAACAAAACAAAAAACCCCCTAGGTTTCCAACAATAAACACATTTAGGGTAGTACTACAATGAAGGGAATGGAAGGGTATGCTTCAATTATATTTGCAATGCCTTCTTAAGCTGCTGGTTGGCTTATTTTTTCAAATCTTTTTTTTTTAACATTTCTGAATGTGCAAAATAATCTGTAACTTTATTTTTTATTTAAAAATTTTTATGCTTATTTTTGAGAGAGAGAGAGAGAGAGAAAGAGCATGAGCAGGGGAGAGGCAAAGGGACAGGGGGACAGAGATCTGAAGCAGGCTCTGTGCTAATAGCCGAGAGCCCCACGCAGGGCTTGAACCCATGAACTGCAAGATCATGACCTGAACTGAAGTCAGATGCTTAACTGACTGAGCCACCCAGGCATCCTGGGGAATCTATAATTTTAGAAAAGGTTCCCAAATAGCTGATTTAATATAAAACATTTTATCTCTACTAGATTTCCACCATTACTTCTACTTTTTGTGAAATAGATGGTTATTTTACATAAAGAAAAATACGTATCTACGAACCCTATATAACTCTAACTAGCTAAAGTATAACAACACTTCTAACAAGTGATGTCTTGCTGTAAACTGAAGAAGAAATATGACTCCTGAAGACTTTTGAGGCATATATACATATACATGTTTTTTCTCTGAAAGATTATTAATGATGGGTGTATAAAACTTTAAGGAAAAAAACCCAGGATACACTACAGCCTAACAGTGGTGAGAGTAAGGTATACTTGTATGATCCTTTACAATTCATTAGGGGTTTTCACATGTTATCTCATTTAATCAACATTATAGTCTTATATAGCATAACATTATTTTCCCTGTCTTGTGGATGAAGATCAGAAAGGTCAAGTGACTATTGCTCCTTCTGCCTTACCCCACTACTGGCAAGATGGGTAAGTTTCAGCCTGAGAGAGAGAGAGGAGGTATAGACAAAGCCGTATCCTACTGATTCTTCCCATGGTCCAATGCCACCAGTTCCGCAGAAACAAACCAATGAACTCTCACCTGGTGATTCTGCAAGATGCTCTTGTTTCTCTTCTCTGTCCTGAAACTGAATTAAATGTGACCACAAAGCTGACTTCCCCTGAAATTACAAGGCACAAAAAATTTTTCATCTTATAAGAACTAATTAATCAAAAAATAATTTCTTATCAAAACCATTCACGTTGAAATGGCCATTTTGATGTTTGGAGATCCAAGCTCATCCATTCTCAGCTGTGTAATATTCTGAGCAATTCACTCCTTGTGAAAGGAGGGTCATCCTTTGCCTCACTGAGAAGATTAGCAATAGCCTGGGGAAGGGCAGCTAAAGAGACCGCCAGAAGTACGCATGGACTTCTGAACTTCAGCTCAGTTGTTATTTAATTGTATGTTTAGGACTGTCTACACTGGCCACACTAGTAACCACAGAATTAAAAGGCTCTAGCAGCACAGAGTGTATTTGTGTATATCCATATGCAAAATATGTTTGTGTGTATGGAATGCCAACTATGGAAGAAAAAAAGCCAGAGGAGAAAGAGAAAAGGGGAGGAAGAAAGAACATGTTCACAACAGAAAACAATCAGAACAGGAGATAAGAGGGACAAAAACAAAGAAACCATTTGATTTTTTGCACCCTGAATAACTAGATACCTTAAAATGGTAAAGAAGGTTAATTCTGGCTAACAGATTTTTTTCCTGCACAGTGACGAAAGCAGACATTCAACAGGGGATATGGCCTCTGCAGTAAATGTGCTGTTTTACCCTTTTCTGTTTACCAGGAAAAGAGCCCCAAACCACCTCTTAATCATGGGTTTTATTTTCTTTTTCTGGAATTAAAAAGCCTATGGTGCATTTCCCGTTATCCTGTGACAAAGAAACATACCCTTTAATGTTTATCTTTTTCTCTTTGTGACATTTCTTGACAGGGTTCCTAACGAGCCACATCACCAGGACCTCCTGAGACTATTACCTGCTTAATCTGCAAGCCGTGGCTCCATATCCTTTCCAGCAGGTCACAGAGACTGGCGATCAAGGTGTTCTCCTCCAAGCCTGTTATGTTTGCTTCTCCATGGCCCAGTTCCACTGCTTCATGTCCCATCTTCTCCACCAACATGCGTTTTGTCTGAGAACATCACATGTGGTCACAAGTGTTATCCCAGTAGTGAAGTAAAAAAGCCAACAAGTCAACTACTAGATCAGAGACCTGGGTTCCTTTCATTACACCTTTTTAAAATTTTATTTATTTATTTATTAAAAAGAAATTTTTTTTTTAACGTTTATTTATTTTTGAGACAGAGAGAGACGGAGCATGAACGGGGAAGGGTCAGAGAGAGGGAGACACAGAATCCGAAACAGGCTCCAGGCTCCGAGCTGTCAGCACAGAGCCCAATGCGGGGCTCGAACTCACGGACTGCGAGATTGTGACCTGAGCCAAAGTCGGCCGCTCAACCAACTGAGCCACCCAGGCACCCCTACACCTTTTTTTTTAAAGATTATTATTATTATTTTTTTAGTAAGCTCTACACACCATGTGGGGCTTGAATCCACAACCCCGAGATCAAGAGTGGCACACTCCACCTACTGAGCCAGTCCCCCATCCCTTCATTATACTTCTAATTGTAGATTTTTCATCACTTTGGGAAAAGTATCTTAATTTCTGTGGTCAAATAACTGCAGTAATATCACATATAGTTTTATTATTTTGTCAGACAAATACGGGGTCACTAGTGGGAGAATATGATACTATATGAAAGTATCCTCAAGTAAACATTTATGATGGACAGTTTTCAGAATACTAGCTTGAATAACTTTGGGGAATCACACCAGACCCAGGAAATGGGAAGAATGTGAAACCCATCCTGCCACTGCAACTAAGCCTCCACTGCCCCTGCATGTTGGCAGACTGAAGGTACCTACAGTTAGCTTTGACTACACTTAGGCAAAAACGACAACACAAACAGCTCTAAATTTTTTCAGAACTCCCTAATCTGTGAGTGAACCAGGTCTCTTTTTCCTTCCTCTTTTCCTCTTTTATCTTGTCTCTGCTCATGAGTATGCACCAGAAAATAAAAAGGAAATAGAAATTAGTTTCAAGTAAGCAACTTACAGCAGTCTTAGCTGCACTTATCAAATGTAAAGTGAGAGAGAATCTAGTTCTTTAAGGTCGAGACCATCTCTCTGATTCAACACTGTATGCTGATACTGAAACCAGTGTATATACTGAATACACAGAAGGTACTCCAGAAGTGACTGTCAAATAAAAGAATGGAATTACTGGCTAAAATGATGTCCTGAATTTTGTCAGTTTGTATTATCACCTTTGATGAACACAGCTATCTGAGAAGAAGACTAGTGTGTTAATATATACAAACCTAACCTATAGCTAAGGTCTTCTTCCTCATGGGTATACATACATGATGGGCATGGACAAGGTTCTACACAAAAACCGTGTTGCCTTTTGCATAAGATGACCACATTCCTGATACAACTTCTGACTGGCTTACTATCCTGTTCATGTTGGAGAAAAAGACAGCAATGGCTGAAGAGGTGAGAGAAATTGTGCAGGGCTCTCTATGTCACTGATTCTATGGGCAACAGAGAACCCGTGAAAATTCATGACCTCAGTAAAGAGTACGTGAGGTTTATACCCCAGGAAAAGTTTTCTTCGAGGAAAGCTGCAGGCCCAGATGGGAGCTGATTCAGCTCATCTTAGCCTCACAAATGGAATTAACATGATAGCACACTGTCTTCCATCAGTGAGTAATACGTACCTTCATTCTACATTCTTTTAATAAGCCTTCTACAAATTTGCAGTTGGTCTGTGCAATCACTGCAGGAGAAAGGTCTGACAATTTGGGTTGCCTCAGGTTTTTTCCTAAACTTCGCGCCTCTTGCATATATTTCTAAAAATTAAAGAGTATTTTTAAATACGTAAACATCAGATACTCTCCTTTCTTAACATTACACAAATAAGTGCAGAAACAACAAGATGCAAAGAAGGCCATAAGTGTATTCATGCAATAGCAATTCAAGTTTTAGCGCCACCTAAAGGCAGAGGGCATTCGTACTCTCCTCACTTCCCAATTGTTAACCCCTGTGAAAATGAGGGTGACAGAAACCCCATCAGGTTAAAACACATTCAAAATACGATGGAATCTAATCTCATCTAGTTTACTCTTTTTACTGGGAATACCCTAGGTTGTGATTAGTCAGGAGCATGATGGGGATGAAAAAAATTGGGGTTTCTGGATTACTAATCCAAGGTTCTACAAGAAACCAGTGATTCTCAGATCACTGGTTTCCTCCTCTCCCCACAGATCGAGACTGAACACACTCCTACCCTCTTGGGCAGTGCTCTCCAACCCAACCCTTTGCTTTTAATCAAGTCACAACAGGGAAATCAGGAGCTCTAAAACCTGGTTGCAACTAATTTTATAACCTCAGGCATATTTGCTTACTTGTAAAATGGGCATAAAACATGCCCCCATACCTCACAAGAAAGACCATGAACTCACTCTGAACTTGTTTGCTACATTCCCCCCTTCCTTGCCTTGTTCCACAATCAAGAGAAAGTGGAAACATATTACTTTCAGAGAAAGTGATGGCTCAGAGAGTACCACAGAAATCCAGTCCACTGCTCTTGAGCTTTAGTTAGTGAATGTCCAGGAGAAAAAAAATCACTATGGGTGATTACCACAGGACGCTGGTTGTCCCTCTTCTTTCTGTGCCACCTGCAAAAGCTCATCTACATACTTTACGTTTGCATCAGGACCATGGGGCAGAATCTCCGCAAAGTCCAAGTGTCTTAGGACCATTTTTAGAGAATAACTACTCTAAGTGATATAGTAAAACTAGCAGTTTGTTGAGGGGAGAGAGAGATTATAAGCCAGCACATCCTCCCACAGGCACATATGTGAAATCTATCTTTACTATCTTAAGGGAAGAATTTGATATTGTAAGGGAAGATGTGTAAGATCCTTTGCATTCTTTAAACAAAAGGGAGTTTGTACATTTAAAATATTTCCCTTTGGAAGACAAATAATCTGCTAAATCTTGTACAAATTTCTAAAAAATCCCACTGATTAGGGATTTGGCTGATCAGTGTACCTGCTACTGCATAAACAGAAAATGTTTCCTTTCTAGTGCAATCATTTTAAGGAAAGATTTTTAAAAAATGAATGCTACAAATACTTAGTTTCCATTATATTTGTGTCTATATTTTTGGCTTCAAATCTTTTTTAGAGGGTCAAAGAAAGAGGGAAAATTGAAAATGAGAGACAACTATCACCACCAGGGAAGCTAAGGGTAATAAGGTCTATCAAAACATCCTGAAGGTTAGTTTTCAAATAAATAAACGCAGGAAATGAAAAGCTTCAGCAAAAGCCACCTGAGATACAAGGCAGAGATCCTATATGAGAATTATAACACGTGCATTTCCTAACATTTCAGGTGGTATAGATATTATCTGGATTATTACAAATCAGAGATAAAAGGCTGGTAAAAACAAATGTTAACTGGCAAATGTTAAAGGGGTTGTTTCTCCCCTGTGTCTGTTCTTCCACCTTTAGCACTTGTGCAAATGCAGAGAGAACTACTGTGACTCAGTCCTCCAGAAGAGGGAAGATTCAGTCTTAGCTTAGGAAGAAACACTGGCTAGAAGGAGTGAGGAACACTGTCAGGCTAGAGACTAGAAACAGGTCTTGGCATTTCTGTTTTTTCAAAAATATATGAACAATTAGGTTATTAAGTAAATAACTGGATTAAGAATAAAGCCCTGTTAAAGTGTACGTTCTATTTTATAAATGAAAACAAGCTAGAATGGGGTTATCCTTTGACTGGTCATATTTACCAAGTACACAGCACATATGGGGCAATATGATTATCAGCCAACAGCGAATGCCATAGGGCCCAGTCTTCTCCTGAGCATCTCTGGTGAAGCCATGGAATGAGCAACATTCCTCGGACATGCACACAGAGGATAGAGGGGGTGGCAGGAGGCCCTTCCTCACAAGAAGTGAGGCTGCCTATGTACATTGCAAGAAATAGAGCACTTGCCTTTATAGTAAACAAGTGATGATAAAAATGTAATTTTCTTTGGGGCAGTTGGAGGAAAAGGTGTACTTTAAGGTGAAAAATGGAGAAGAAAGAGAAATCTTTCACAAGGAATGTCTTTATAAGAAGTTCATTTTACTACTAAAAGGAAGTGACCCCAGATTTCTTCTGAGATTTCTACTATGCTCTTCTTCATTTCTGTCAAAGACAAAAATAACAAACCAGGAGTCCTAAGTTCCTCTTGTCCTCAGGTGAGGAGCTGTTGAGTGCAACCTGGTAAACAGGGTTAATGGGAAGAGGACCAGTTTGGCTATCAGCAGTCCTGGGCTACAGGCCCAGCTCTGCCTTGTGTGTCCATTTAACTTTGGGCAAGTCTCTTGGACTTCATGTAATGTTGGACAAGGTGACCTCAAGGGTTCCTCTTAGAACTAAAATTCTATACTGATGATCTGCTTTTCTTACCACATAAAATACAAACCAGGAAGAGAGGAAACACGTTTCAAACTAAAACAATAAAAAACCAAACCAAAACAACAACAACAAAACCCTCAAAAAACAGATCAGGAAGTTCATTAAAATACTGTGGAGTAAAACCCAGCCAGAAAAGAAAAACTGTTCAAAAATGAATTATTTCTGCATTTCTGCAAAATACTTAAAGGGAGTTTGAACATTTAATATATTTCTCATTTGAAAGAACACAAGTGCTACGTCTGGTCCCTCCACAACTCCCCCCTTACCTTCAAAATACCACTAATAAGGAATCTGAATAATTAGTTTTACCTGCCAAGAGTTCAGAATTACTTGCATTAGCACACACCACCAAGAAAAGGTATCAAACATAACAGGAAGTGGAGAGCAAAATTGAGGGGCTGAATATTCACGTCACAAGGTGATGTGAGGCTCTACAGCTATATGCACACACACATGTGGATAATTCAAGGACACCAAAGACAAGATTCAGGAACATCTGCAAAGCACTTTCAGGCAGAGAACATACCAGGCAGCACTCAGAGAAGGATTTTTTAGGAAGTCGTGCAGGAGGAGGTAGACCCTGATCCCACTCCCAGAATGCCATGGAGTTCTGACAGACCAAAAGTTCCCCGGAAGGCTAAGAGGATGGAGAAGTGCCAATGACAGAAAAGCGAAAAAAAAAAAAAAAAAAAAAAAAAAAAAAAAAAAAAAAGACAGGGAGAAAAAGACCAGCAAAATGTGCATGCATATGATATAAAGTCACAGCAAAAGGGAGGGGAAAGAAGAAAATATGATAGCACAAAGAAAAGCACTAGACAGATTATGTTTCAATTTTTAAGAAAATGTTTAAAATCATAAATGTATGAACATTTCAACCAAAAAGCAATAGATATTTGGAATGATGTTTTCTACTTTATTTTACACATCTGAGTTTAGAAAATAGTTAACAGATCTTCCGATTGCATTTTTCTTTGATTACAATAACCAAAACTTACTTATAATTATTCCAATGTATAACTATGCTTGTATTTTTTAGTACAAATAAAGCATAAAGATCTTAATTCAAAAATAATTTCTAAACACTTTAAAAAATGGTGTCCACAATCCAAGGATAAAGCACAAGCAAATCATCTTTATTCTAAGTTTAAATTATGCTTGAAACTTAAAATATGTTTCTTGTATACTTTTTCCCCCCACAGGAGACATACTGACCAAAAATGTATCCTAAACTTAGCCTTTACTTGATGTGGTACACAGGGAGACTTGTTTAGGGCCGTATTTTAGGTGTATTAAAATTACAAAAAGGTGTTCTTTTAAAGTCAGTACAAAAGGATTACTATTTTAAAATAAAACAAAACCATTCTGTAAAGAAATAGGAAGAACTTGCACCATGACAACTGCTGAGCTGAGTAAGCCTAGTTCATGGCTCTTGTATGGAGGCGTCCTGGGAAGGCGGCCCACATACCTCCCTCAGGTCGTTGTCCAATCCAATGTGCTCGGAATGTTGGCGAAGGCGGTCTTTCCTGCGCTGCGCCGTGGCGCTCCGACTCACCCAGCGACTGGAAAAATAGCCGTACCCAAGAAGGTGCAGGTTAAAACAAACAACAAGAAAGCGATCACTTATCTCCAAAATAGAAAAAATGTACTGTTTAAAAGACTAACAATACTTATTTTTCAACCAATTCTTTATGTAATGTCTTTATTGTAATGTAAATACCACACAATACACCTATTTAAAGCATACAATTCCAGCGGTTTTTATTATATTCAGAGACATGTAACCATCACTAAAATCAGTACTTTTTAAAAACTGAGGTTAAAAAAATACATAGTATCACCTCATAATGATCCTCTCCTTTCCACTTTACTGTTCAACAGAGCCCCAAACCCTGGATGAATACTATCGTGTAATTTCTCATATCTATGTAGATTAGTGGTTGATTTGTCATGCCCTTTATCACCTCTCTCCCATTCCCCTCAAAAACTGTTCCAAACCTTTCGCTTTATCCTCAAGGGCCTCCCCTCAATTGCCTGCCTTCTGCTTAAACAATGTATACACAGACATTTCATCTTTCTTCTAATCCCAAAGTATAAAATATACTGGCCATAGCTCAAAACTATTACTGCCACCTGTAAGAAACTCCTTGACTAATTCTCTCTTGCTTTCTTCAACCTGCCGCATTAACTATCTCTTTCTTTTATTTTTTTAAGTTTATTCATTTTGAGAGGGAGAGAGAGTGTACAAATGGGGGAGGGACACACACACAGAGAGAGAGAGAGAGAGAGAGAGAGAGAGAGAGAGAGAGAGAGAGAGAGAATCCCAAGCAGGCTCTGCATGGTCAGGTCAGTGTGGGGCCCGATGTGGGGCTTGAAGTCACCAACCATGAGATCATAACCTGAGCTGAAGTTGGACGCTTAAGCAACTGAGCCACCCAGGTGACCCTAGTCATCTTTTTCTGAATCTCCAATTTTTCTTTCTCAACTGAATAATTTCCCTTCAGCTTACAAGCATGCTGGTCTCTCTCTTGACCCTCTACAGTTATGTGTAAGTTTCTTGCTTCACTCTTTCCTGTAAAAATTCTTAAAAGATTACATATAAGGCTTCTACTTAGTTACCTTTGGATGTTCGGTTTATCTCAAATAAGCTTCCCCCGACAATGCTCTTGAAGCCATTTATATCCTTAACTGTCATATCCAATGGCTATCATTCAATTCTTAGCTCAACCAATCTCTCTGCTACACTTAGTACCATCTTATAACTCTAGCTATTTTCAACTAAGTCAGTGTTTCCAATGGGGTCAGTTCTGTCACCTTTGAGCCTTTGTCCCTGAAGTTTCCTCCCAATTTCTATTCTTTCAGATAGCTTCAATGTTACACAGAAAATGTTCTTTAATTCTTCCAATTCTAAACTGTCTACCCTTCTTATACTCCCCAATTTTATTACCTATCACATTGTGTTACAATCACTTATCTCTATTCCTATAAAATCCTCTCTACTATAAACTCTCCAAGAGCTGGTATGTCTGTCACTGTTTTTTTGGCAGTCTGTACATCACCTGGACTTTCTATAAATACACTCTAAATACATAATCAGAAATCCAGTCTAACATTTAGGCTTACAGACATTCCTCACAACCTGTATGTAATAACAAATTGTTTCCTTAATCCAAGACTCATAGTTTGGCCTTTAAATGTTCCTAAAATTAATGTGTCTTCTATTCCATATACATGTTTAATGTATACATTTTCCAAAAAGCTTTTGAGTTAATAACAGATCTTACAACCAAGAGTTAATCAGGATCAAGTAAATGTGCTCAAAACAACCTAACTGTTCAACAGTAGGGGGTGCTATATAATGAAATATGTAATCATTAAAAAAGTTGCTAGGAATATTAAGATAGGAGAATGTTCATGGTACAATAATGAATGGGGAAAACAAACAAGATAAAACATTGTATAAATAATCTCCTAATTTTGTGAAAAAGTAAACATGGACATGCACACCATGATCTATGCAATGGAAGAGCATGACAAGAAATGTTGACATCTCATGGTGGTGGCATTATGGGCGTTTTAAAATTTACCCTATCACTTTCAAGTATTCTAAATTTTCTAGTGAGCGTATATTATTTTAAATCAAATCATTTTTAAAAATTTCTCAAATCTTGAGTTATCATCCCCATGACTATGTATTCATCACACTTTTCTAAGAATATCTACTCTTGCGTATATTCTTGATAGCACAGAGCTATATAAATTTTAAAAAATGAATTTATACTTTGGCACTCAGGAAAAGTCATATTGTATTACTGACAGTTCATTATTTTTATTTTTTTATTTAATAAAGTATGCAATTTACAAAAAGCTTAAAATGAGAATGCAGCTTCTTTTGTTGCTTTTAAAATAATTTACGCATGGTTTCAAGCTTCTGAATCATTTCATTTCAGTCTGCTATTTAGAGGAACACTGAATAATTATGATAAAAATGACATCAAGAAAGGCAGTCCCTCTTAAAATAGTTTAAAAAAATAGGTTTTAAAATAAAAAAAAATAAAATAAAAAAATTAAAAAATAGGTTTATATTGGGACAAAAAAAAACCAAGTCCTAGTGATAAATCGTTGAAGTGGAGACCTTGGAAATGTCCCAATAACAAAGTATTAAAGTTAAGACTGTAAAAAGGATACAAAAAAAACTGGGGTGACTGAGAAGGAAGATCCAGAAAAAAAGAATACTAAGGCACTGACAAAGAAAGATTCTTCACTTGATCAAACCTTAGTTAGGCTTCTGAACCTTCTCCTAGGTCACTCTGTGCACTTCCTTATAAAATCCAGTTTTGACAAGAACGTTGCTAAGTCAGTTTAGTAGGAGAGCCCCCATCCTCAGTATTTGATCATTCTCAATGTCTGATCAGTTTCTTTTTTTTTTTTCTTTTTAATTTTTTTCAATATATGAAATTTATTGTCAAATTGGTTTCCATACAACACCCAGTGCTCATCCCAAAAGGTGCCCTCCTCAATACCCAT